GACAGGATTCGAACCTGCATCCTATACGGAACCGTCATTTACGCTGACGTGCCTTAAATGGGGCCAAAAGGGTAGACAAGGTCGAATTTACTGTTTATAAACTCAATCTTCCATGAATCTCGTACATTCATAACTGCTCTGGCGTAAAAAATGTAAACAAATGACGTCATATGTTAAGAAATGGACAAGGTCCGACAATTTATTTATTAAAGACATTTTTTTTATGTTTAACGTTGTTATTTTTATAGATACAAGTATTTAAGCAAATGCTAAATTTTTTACCGATAAACAGTATTAAATAACATTTATCCGGCCTGAATGTTGTGAATTTTTTATTTGAAAATATTCGTTAATTGACAGAATTTTGTATTGCAAATAAAATACGGAACCGTATATATATTAATATATATATCTTATTATATATGATAAAACAATATATATGATTCGAATTATATAAAGAATGTTTAAAAATTTTTTATAAAAAATTATCGGACATTTTGGTAAATGTTATTTAATACTGTTTATCATAAACAGAGCATTTGCTTAAATACTTGTATCTATAAAATAACAACGTTAAACATAAAAAAATGTCTTTAATAAATAAATTGTCGGACCTTGTCCATTTCTTAACATATGACGTCATTTGTTTACATTCGATACGCCAGAGCAGTTATGAATGTACGAGATTCATGGAAGATTGAAGTTTATAAACAGTAAATTCGACCTTGTCTACCATAAGGTTTTTGGTGGCCGAGTGGTTAAGGCACGTCAGCGTATATGACGGTTCCGTATAGGATGCAGGTTCGAATCCTGTCAAAGAACGAATATTTTCTATGAAAATTTCTCGGACATTCAGGCCGGTAAATGTTATTTAATACTGTTTATCATAAACAGAGCATTTGCTTAAATACTTGTATCTATAAAATAACAACGTTAAAATAAAAAAAATGTCTTTAATAAATATATATATATATATAATATATATTATATATATATATATATATATATATATATATATATATATAATTTTATATATTTATATATATATATAAATAAATATATTTTATAATAATATACATATATAATTTATTATATATATATTATATTTATATATATATATATATCAATATATTTTTATATTTATATATATATATGATAAATGAATTTATCTGACTATTATTGAATTATATAAATTTTTATTTTTTATTTAGAATATTTTTATCATATATAATTTTTTTTTGAAAAAAAATTTTTTATAATTTAAATGTTTTATTTAAAAAAAAAAAAAAAAATATTAAAACAAAATTCATTTATATAATTTATATAAATATTAAAATATTTTAAAATTTAAATAAATATAAAAAATATATATATATATATATATTTTTATAAAAATTACAATATATTATATATAATATATAAATTTTTCATTATATAAAAAAAATATATTAAATTAAAAAATTTGTTTTTAAAAAAAATTAAAAATATATATTATATATATATATATATAAAAAATATAATCCAAAAAAAAAAAAATTGGAAAAAAAAAATTTGTAAAAATTTATATTCAATAAATATATAATATATATATATATATTTAAATAATATAATAAAACTTAAAAATTTTTAATGATTTTAAATATTTTTAAAATAAAAAAAAATTAAAGAAAAAGAAATTTAATTAAAATATCTTTAAAATTAAATATATTTATTATTTTTATTTATTTTATAAAATATTTATTATAAATTTAAAAAAAATATTTTATTATAGTAAAAATTTAAAATTAATTAGAAAAAAATGAAAAATTCAAATTTTCCATAATAAAAAAATAAATTAACAAAATTTTTTAACATTTAATAAAAAATAATTTTTTTAAAATTTTTAAAAAAAAATATTTGGAAAAAAAAAAATTTCTTTTTAATATATATAAAAAAAAAATTTGAAAAAATTTAGAGGTTAATTTATCGAAATTATATATTAATATTATTGAACAACTTAAAAAAAAAAAATTTATAAAAAATAAAATAAATGGAAAAAATAATATAAAATGAAAAATATATATTTAAAAATATATAAAAAATAAAATAAATAAAATTTTTTGAATATTTAAGATTTAATTTTTTTTACAAAAATTAATTAAAAAAAATCAATTCATTAAAAAAACGAATTTCAACATGAAATTTTTCTAAAATTAAAAAATTTATATATATATATATATATATATATATATATATATAATATTTTATAATTATATATAAAAAAAATATAAAAATTTAAAAAATACCTTAAATTTTCAATTACTCAATAAAAATACAATTTAAATTTTCAAAAAAAAATTTAAAAATAAAAATATTATTTAAAAAAAAAAAAAAAAACCAAAATAAATTAAATAAGTAGAAATTTTTCAAAAAATAAAAAATAAATATATATATAAATATATTTTTTTATATATTATAAAAATTGAAAATTTTATATTTAAACTTAAATATTTTATTTTATTAATGAAAAAAAGTAAATATTTATGAGGTTTTTTGAAAATATTAAAATATATTTCAAAATTTATAAAATATATATCAAATATAATATATAATATATATAATATATATATAAAAAATATTTTTTATTTTTAAAAAAAAAATAAAAAAAAATTGAAACAAAAAAAAAATCTTTTGAATTAATATAAATTTTTTAATAAAAATTTTTAAATTTTTTATTTTATTTAAATGAAAATTTAAATAATTAAAAAACAAAAAAAATATCTAAATTTATATAAAATTTTAAAATTGAAAATTTATTCATGGAATTTTTGCCATTTAAAATTAAATTGGATAATATGAATATATTTACAAATTAAAAATTTAAAAAAATATATATATATATAAAAAAAATTAAAAATAAATATTTTTTTCATTTAAATAAAAATTTTGGAATATATAATAATATTTTCAAAACATTTTTTAAATTTTTAAATTTTAATTTTCTTTAGATTTAAAAATGCAAAAATATATAATTATTAAAATTTTCAAAATACAAGAAAATTTTTTTTTATGATTACAATAAAAAATATTTTAAATATCAATAATTCCTTTTCAAGGCATTTAAGAATTTTTTTTTTTGAATTTTTTAAAATTGATTTTTTGAAAAAAATGTTAACAATCAAAATTAAATTCATCTTTTTTTCAAAAGTTTATTTTGAAATTATAGAAAAAAAAAATTAATTTATATTAATTTTATGATCAAATAAAAAATATTTTATTTTATTTCAAAAAAGAAATTCTTAAAATCCTTTTTTAAAAAAAATGAAAAAAAAAAAATTTAATATCTTAATTTTATTTAAAATTATTAATTTATTTTTTTGAAATAAATTTAATTTAATAGATCAAAAATTTAAATAAATAATGTTAAGAAAATTTGAAATATTTCATTTTATATTTAGATTTTTTTAAAAAAATTAAAATATCAA